ATCGCTTCATATCCTTCTTTCTACGAACCAATTCTTTCTGCTTGTACTATATCTCTATATGCAATCTTTCTCTTATATATTACCACCTTTTACCTAACCACTTTTATGAATCTGGTGTTCATCTTGTTGTGTTGATGCGGTATGGCAACTTGGACCGATACACATATGTGCCTGGTCTTACGTTGTAGCTGACTGACTGACTGAAGATGATCCATATCTTCTGGAAAGACAGTCGGGTGGTTCGGCGCGTTGACTTCATCTCATCAGCAGAAAGATATTGAACGACATCTACTGAAACGTCTTAAGGGTCCTAAATAAAGTCTTACGCTAAAACCTGGAATTCACTTATCAGGGTAGATCAGGTTTAAGACAACAAATGCACCATAGAAAGTAGACAAAATCAATACTACTATATGGTGTTGGTTGGGTTAGTGTCTGACGAAATCTCAGCACGGATTCGTAAACCTCGTTTGGCTTTTGCCAACTAACGTCACCTATGGCGAAGGCGAGATATCCGTCCATCAGTAAAAGGACGAGTGTACTGCGCGGCAGTCAATTCTGTTTTAATTTACGGCAGCAAAATATGACCATTAAGAGTAGAAGATACTCGTAAGCTACTAATGTTTGACCACAGATGCCTCAGAAATATTGCTGGCGTCTGTTGAGATCACCGGGTAAGTAATAGTGAGGTTAGACACAGGGTATTAGGGAATGATGGTAAACCAGTTGGTAAGGTTGTGAATCTTCACCTACTGAGATGGGCAACGTGTTCAGTCAGTCAGTAACAACGTAGAACTTCGTACGTACGTACATCAGTTCGAGTTGCCACACCACATTAGCACAGACATGCAGTGGTCGATTCAAATCCCGTAGTGGTAGAGGTAATAAGAGTATAAGCAGTAATCGGGAAGATTAGGGTTTAGAGATGTTAATTAAAGAATATAATACAGTGAAATAAATTCGGGAAGAGAAAAAACAGGCAAGGAGGGATAAGGAGATCAAAATTTGGGAGAACACAGAGTGTATGCACCTGCGCCATTACAAACGATTTTGAACCATGTCATTCAGGGTCTCTAACCATCAGTTGCTATCATCTCGCGGTCCCCAACCAGGTAGTCTACACCTACCGACACGACTCAGTCTACTTGCCAGTGACTTCATGGACTTGTGCCATGTTTTGGTCTGGCCGCCCCTAGCTTTCTAACAATCTACTACTATACCATTGAACATCGCACATCGAGGCAGTCGGTCGTTGGGCATACGTAACACGTGTCCCAGCCATCTCAACTGATGAAGTTTCACTACGTCATCAATTGATTTGCCAACCTTACCTAGTACCCGTTTCCTAACAACTGCATTACTTACTCGATGGTCCCAGGATATACGAGCGATATTTCGAAGACACCTATGATCAAATACTAGTAACCTACGCATATCCTCTACTCTTACCGGCCATGTTTCACTGCCATAAAGTAGGACGGAACAAACTGCTGCGCAGTAAACCCGTCCTTTGTTTGATAGACTGATATCTCGCCTACACCATAAATGACGCAAGTTGGTAAAAGCTAGTCGAGTCTTCTGTATCCGTGCTGAGATTTCGTCACACACCAAACTATAAGGGCTGATGAGACTTCCAAGATAAGTGAAGCGATCGACACGCCCAATTACTTCACTCCCTATCATTAGTTCGGATGTCAATGCCACCCAATCCTGAAGCAACATTTTACATTTCGAGAGGGAGAATCGCATCCCGAACATGCTTACATTGTTGCTTAGAGTGGTCAGAAGACTCTGCATTTTGTCAGCGTCTTCACTAAATAAAACTATGTCACCAGCATATTCTAAGTCAACAAGTGAACCTCCCGTTAGATGTTCAACCCCTGTAAGTTTAGATGAGGAAAGTGTTATCTCTAAAAGTACGTCAACGACAAAGTTGAACAAGAGTGGACAGCCCTGACGAACACCACTTGAGGTAATCAATTCTGATGACAGTTCGCCATAAGCTCTCACTCGACCAGTTGTGTTCGAGTAGAGAGCCTTTATAAGGTTAATGTACTTCTTTGGCACTCCTTTCAATGACAAACACTGCCATAGAACCTTACGATCAACAGAGTGGAATGCTGCCTTGAGTTCGAGAAATACTACGATTGTGGGGCGTGTGAATGTGTGTGTGTTTTGGAACCTGACGTAGTGTGAATATCTAGTCTATACGACCACGTCCAGGTCGAAAACCAGCCTGGTTTTCTATAATCTGCTCTTCACGAGCTTTAGTTAGGTGTCGAAGTATTATTGAATCTAATATTTTAGAAACTATATTTGTCAAACTGATTCCTCTGTGATTGTCTCAAGAGGACTTTTGTCCTTTCTTATAGACTGGCACAATCAGTGATTGAGACCAATCAAATGGGATTACATCCAGTTCCCAAATTCTACCTAAGACCTCAGTTAATCTCACTGCTAATGCTGAACCACCATCCTTAAAAATCTCAGGAGTAAACCTGTCAGGGCTTGCTTCCCTCTCTCGCTTCAGATTTCCTATGGCTTTTTCAACTTCGTAAAGATACGGAGGACTTACATTAACTTGCCATTTAGGTTGACTGGAGATCGTGGGAAACCGAAGTGTGGCTGAAAACCAGTTCAACTGATCCCTAAAGTGTTCTGCCCATCGATCCAATCTCCTGGATTGAGAATGTATAATATGTCCATCTTTCTCTGAGTGTTTCGCTAACAGTCGGTTTCCTAATACTGGTTTCCTTAACGAGTCTGAACAATTGTCTGCTATTACCTATTGCCGCTGACTTTTCCATTTCTCTTGCTTTCGCTACCCACCACTGTTCGCGATCATTGCGTAGGCTTCTTGTCAGTTTGCGCTTAAGCTGACTCCACTCTTCGTTATGTTCAGAGTCAGATGGAATGAGTTTCCGAGCATCTATCAGTGCGGTAGATGCTGCTGAGATCCAGTGTTTCTCCCTAACCTTCTGGTTTACCTTACTAGCAGATATCACTGCTGTTTCCACAGCTTTTCGGATATCATTCCATGCTGCCTCGGGATGGGCACCACATACATGGCTGCCTAACTTTTTTCCTAGTTGTTCCTGAAATATACTCTTAGCTTGACTATCATTAAGTAGGCCCGTAAGAGGTTTCCTTGCAGCGTCTTTCCTACGTCCAGTAAGACGCAGACAAATACGCGCTCGTACTAGAGCATGATCTGAATCTAAGCATGTGCTCCAGAATGAGCGGGCCACGTGCTGCGTATGTCTGAACACCAACTACCACGACACGTAATGCTAACCGGTGTTGATGATAGTTGGTAGAAAGTTAGGGGTGGCCGAACCAAGACGTCGAATCAGTGCTCGAAGTCATTAACTTCTGATCTGAACCATGTTGGTAGATGCAGACTACTTGGTTGGGGTCCACGTGACTATCGTAACTAATGGTTAGACTCTTAGTGACATGGCTCAGAATCGATCATAATGGCGTCGGTGTATACACACTCTGTCTTCCCTCAAACCGTGAGATTAAAATTACTTTATACCTTTTTTTCTCCGAATTCTTTCTGTACTATATCCTTTCTTCTATATATTACACCACTGAGTTAACTGCTCTTATGAATATGGTGTTGCGACTCGGATCGATGCGTATATGTGCCCGGTCTTACGTTGTGACTGACTATGTGGTGTCTTTTGCTCGACAGTTTACAGTGAAAGCAGAAAAATCAAGGAGGACTAGACATAATACTTTGACAGAATTTCCTGCCGGAATAATGTATATATTACATAGAAAGAGCTATAAAGAGAACATAGATTTTCGATATTGGTTTTAGAAGGGATTACAGCAAGAAGTAACTTCCCACGTCAACACGAAATGACAACAGATATCTTTCGTAAAATCAAAAATCTAGAAGGTCGACACTCCCCATTACATTAGCTGTTCAGATCGTCTTATTGTCCAGTCAGAGCAATTCGGTGTTCCTGCACAATACTATGTTCGTTTATTATGCATTGTAGTCGTGCCATGCTGTGACCTTTACCATGTCATTAAGTAATCTTAAACTACAATCAATGAAATAGATGCACCGCTTCTATCTGGTCAAATGTATGCTTATAGTTGCTGACGCCTCGTTTGAGGGCTTGTAAGGTCCTTCGTACATCACCTCAGTAGCTTGACCTATCATATTACGTCACGACGCACGAAAGCTTGCCTCTCACTTCATAGGACTAGTTAAGCTATGACAGGTTTAATAATACGAATAGCTCCCTGAAGCGTTTTGATGTCTATGACCGCTTCCAGATTATTCAAAACTATAAGTAGACATTCAAGTCTTGAAAATGAGCTTTAATTTCCTTATAAAATCAAGGGTGTACAATTTGTGATATGTATGAATTTCCGTTTACAGTTAGACATCAACAGTACTTGTAGGTGTCATTACCAAGGTTAGATTTGATAATTTCGAATAAATTGAGCATTGGGTTCATTGTTATAAATAAAATAAATAAATCAACAGTACTTACAACAAGATCATTTGGTTTAATTAAAAGTACTAAAAGTACCTAGTGTTTAGTTCATTTCAAGGTCAAAAGCATGCGACTACATGTGCATTGTCAGTCAGTCAGCTACAACGTAGGACCATATATATATATATATATATATATATATATATATATATATATATATATATACATCGGTCCAAGTTGCCACACCTCATTAACACAACAAGATGGACACCAGATTCCTAAACGTAGTTAATTCAGAGATGGTAATATATAAAAGAAAGATTGCAATAAGGATATGGTACAGGAAGAAAGTATTAGTTGGTAGAAAGAAAGATATGAAGTGATTCTAATCTCTTAGTTTAAGGGAAAACAGACAGTGTATACACCGACACCATTATGATCGATTCTGAGTCATGTCAGATGTGTATTAATAAACTAAAGATAATGTTTTAACTTATTAACCAATGTATGCAATAATTTCAAATAGTCTTTTTTTTCTTGCAGTTTCCCTACACTCAATTTTTTTAAACTCAAATGAAATAAAATGTCTAATCATCCTGTGTGGGTACGTATAGTACCTTTCATTGGATCAATGATAATATCAGCCTATTATTTAACATATATGCGATATTGTATTCATGAAAAAAAGCGATTAACAGTACAATTACCTAATTTAGATGAAGATTATATTGTTGAATTTCTTAAAGAAGTTACTGATTCCTCTAAAAAAACTAAATGGGAAAATAAAAGAGTAAATAGACCATGGGAAGAATAATTTAAATAAGATAAAAAATTAGAATATATAAATTAAATAGAAAAATTAATTTTCTCTATCATGTATCTGTGTGTATAGAAACAATTATATTTGTAAATACAGAAATATTTTAATTTATACAAATAAGATAAACATTTAAATATAAAACAACAAAATGAATTTTCTCATTAAAAAAGGAACTTCTTTTCAATTTATTTCTTCACAAGTTAACAATTTAATTATTTTCTTTTGACAAGCTAAACGAATCGATTGTATAATTTTTGATGATAATTCTAAATAAGATGAAGAATTTTTTAAGGATTCTAATCTTGAAAGAAAAGATTCTACACTTGTTTCTGTAATATGTTCAATTCCTTTAAAATTTATATCCGATGTATAATTGGGCAAAATGATCTAATAATAAATAAACATAATATATATATATATCATTATGATATTAGAATGAAAATAAAATTTAATTTTTTAAAATTAAATTGTTATTAGGGAATCCTATTTTATAATTAGAAAGATTTACATTTCAATCATTAAGTTACATGTTCAAACCCTATCTTATACATTTTAATTTGAACAGTATTACTAATCTCTATCATAAATTCAAGTAGTATATACAAATAGGCATTTGGTTACAAAGTTGTATAATGATAATCGTAATTCATTTATTCGTGTAATTGTATCAGTCAGTCAGTCAGCTACAACGTAGGACCAGGCACATATGTGCATCGGTCCAGGTTGCCATACCGCATCAACACAACAAGATGAACACCAGATTCATAACAGTGGTTAGGTAAAAGGTTGTAATATATAAGAGAAAGATTGCATATAGAGATATAGTACAAGAAGAAAGAATTGGTTAGTAGAAAGAAAGATATGAAGCGCTTTTAATCTCTTAGTTTAAGGGAAGAAACCGAGTGTATACACCGACGCCATTGTGATCGATTCTGAGCCATGTCACCAAGAGTCTCCAACCATTGGTTACGATAGTCACGCGGACCCCAACCAAGTAGTCTGCATCTACCAACATGGCTCAGACTAGAAGTTAGTGACTTTATGGACTGATGCCACGTTTTGGTTTGGCCGCCCCTTACTTTCTTCCAACCATCCCGAACACCGGATAGCATTGCACGTCGTGGTAATCGGTGTTCAGGCATACGTAACACGTGGCCCAACCATCTCAGTCGATGAAGATTCATAACCTCATCAACTGATTTACCATCCTTTCCTAATACCCTGCGTCTAACCTCACTATTACTTACCCGGTTATCCCAGCAGACGCCAGCAATATTTCTAAGACATCTGTGGTCAAATACTAATAGCTTACGAGTGTCTTCTACTCTTAATGGCCATGTTTCGCTGCCGTAAATTAAAACAGAACGGACTGCCGCGCAGTATACTCGTCCTTTTATTGATAGACGGATATCTCGCCTTCGCCACAGGTGACGTAAGTTGGCAAAAGCCAAACGAGCTTTTCGAATCCGTGCTGAGATTTCGTCCGATACCAACCCATTGAGGCTGATCAGACTTCCAAGATAAGTGAAGTTGTCAACGCATTCGACTACTTCACTCCCTATCCTTAGTTCAGGTGTTAACGCAGACCAGTCCTGAAGCAACAACTTGCATTTAGAGGGAGAGAAGCGCATTCCAAACATCCTGGCATTGTTGCTCAGTGCTACCAGAAGACTCTGCATTTTGTCAGCGTCTTCACCAAACAGGACTATGTCATCTGCGTATTCTAAGTCGATAAGTGGACCTCCTGAGAGGAGATCAATACCCGAGAACTCAGTCGACGAGAAAGTTATTTCCATCAGTAGATCTATGATGAAGTTAAACAAAAATGGGGAAAGTGGACATCCTTGACGGACACCACTTGAGGTTGCAAAACTAGATGACAGTTCGCCATAAGCTCTCACTCGACTAGTAGTGTTCGAGTAAAGAGCCTTTACAAGGTTTATGTACTTCTGGGGTACGCCTTTCAATGACAGACACTGCTACAGAATCTCGCGGTCTACCGAGTCAAATGCTGCTTTTAAGTCAAGAAAGACCACCATCGTCGGACGCCGATAAGTATGCCTGTGTTCTAGAACCTGACGAATGGTGAATATGTGGTCGATGCAGCCACGACCAGGTCTGAAGCCAGCTTGATTTTCTCGTGTTTGCAGTTCACGAGTTTTAGTTAGGCGTCTGATTATTATTGAGGCTAGTATTTTAGATATTATATTAGTTAAACTAATCCCTCTGTGGTTGTCACAGGATGATTTTGACCCTTTCTTAAATATTGGGACGATAAGTGATTGTGACCAGTCAGATGGAATAACGTCTAACTCCCAGATCTTAGCTAAAATATTAGTCAACCTAACTGCTAAAACTGGACCACCATCCTTAAAGACTTCTGGAGCCAGTTCATCTGGACCAGCAGCCCTTCCTCGTTTCAGATTATCTATAGCCTTTTGAACTTCAGCAAGAGTTGGGGGACCTACCTCAATGTTCCATTCACGCTGTCTGGGAATGGAGGGTAGTTGTAGAGTAGCTGAAGGCCAGCTGAACTGTTCTTTGAAATGTTCAGCCCATCGTTCTAAACGTCTGGACTGGGAGCAGATGAGTGTGTCGTCTTTTTCCGATATAATCTCACTTACACTTGACTTATTAATTCCAGTTTCTTTTATTAGTCTGTAAAGCTGTCTTATGTTCCCTATAGTCGCCGCCTTTTCCATCTCTTTTGCTTTCGTTGCCCACCACTGCTCACGATCGTTTCTTAGACTTTTTCTTAACCTAGATCTGATTTGTTGTCGCTCTTTATCATGTTCGGAACCTGATGGGACGAATTTGCGAGAATCCATCAGTGTGATAGACTTTGAAGAAATCCACTGGTTCTTTGAAACTCTGTGGTTTAAGTCGCTAATAGATGTCACTGCTGCTTCCACAGCTGCTTGTATGTCTTTCCAAGCAACATCTGGGTCAGCCTCGTCTTCAGAACTACCTAAGTGTGAACTCAGTTGTTCTTGGAACCTATTTCTGGTTTTCTCGTTACTCAATTCAGTTCTAATGGGTCTTTTTACTGAGGCTTTTTTGCGTCCGGTGAGGCGCAAGCAGATGCGTGCTCGTATTAGGGCGTGGTCGGAGTCCAAGCAGGTACTCCAGAATGAGCGACAATCTTCTACCGACCCTCTCCAACGATGACTGATGGCAATATGGTCTATTTGAGTCCATCGTTGGTCTGGTGTAGGGGGTCGCCATGTTAGACGATGTCTCTCCTTATGCTTAAAATTTGTGTTTGCTAAAAATAAGCGATTGTCTGAGCACAGTTGCAGTAGACGGTCACCATTATCTGTTCGCTGTGCTGGAATGCTAAAATATCCACCTAAATGCCTTTCTGTTTGGTTTAAGCTACCTATCTGAGCATTAAAGTCACCCCCTACGAGTACTATGTCTGAGTGTTTAGCTTTCTGAAGAAGTTCAGAGAGCTTTCTGTAAAATTCATCCTTCACTTCATCTGAGCTGCAGTCAGTGGGAGCGTAGGCAGAAACGACAAAAAGGCAACGACGTGTGTCCCTATCCTTCCGAGTTCTTACGGAGCCGTTTAGCCGAACAGCACATAGACGACTGTTGACGGGGATCCACTCTAGCAGTGCTTGTTCCGCCCTCATGCTTAGTGCTATGCCTACACCTGCCAGTCCACGAGAGCTGGTCATCGGGTCACCAGATACACGTAGGGTGTATCTCGTTGGCTCTTCGTTTTGCCGAGGTGAGGTCAAGTGAATGACCACACTGGAATGGAAAATATTGCAGTAGTTTTTTTGCCACATCCTATGAATAGCTTTCAACACAGCATAATCCTTACAGGAATGAAATCTTATATTGGAGAGGATAGACAAAAGAATGTTTTTGAATTGACTTAATGTCTTTTATTTGACAGTCTATAAGAATCCAAATGTCCATTTCATAAACATATTTTATAATCGACCTAAAATATATACAGTTAATAATGATACTGATAAGTTTCAAGATACTGTATAACAGACAACATCTACAACAACCTCAAATAACAAGTGGAGAATTTTCCTTGACACTTAAGATACAATCTACGATTAAAAGGTATTGGAAAAGCTTAAATCAAAATAAGCAAGTGAGGCTCAGTGTTCTCGTCCCTTTTCGTTTAAGGACAGGAAGTAGTATTTCTTTATTTACAAACATCTAGAGAGAAAATATGTTATATATATAATGTACATTCAGAAAAAATGTTTTTAACAGAAGGAGCCACTGTTTATACTTAGAGATAGCAAAGTTATCAAATCAATAAGACGAAGTTAATGAGTGAATAACATGCTTGGATTAATCAGAGATCTCCAGTCTAAATAAAAACAACATATGCTTAAAGAAATATACACTGATCAGTTCAGGCGACGACTGACTTATCGTTCAGTGGTCAGTCATTAACTTTTTTGTCCACCTAGTCCGATGAGTTGAATCCGATCTGCGAGATTTTCAATTTGGGGACTAATTTAAATGACGTTCATTCGGTAATGAACAAGAAATATGAACTGTCTTGCTGTTGTTTATCTATTTGCTTGAGATTTGGGCCTGACTTCGTTTTAGCGCTTAACCCTCCATGATGTTATACGAGTATCATGAGTGTTAGTTATTATCCACGTTCGTAAAGACAAGCAATAATAGTGGTGATGCAGTAACTTCTTTCTAGCACAGATTTCACCAGAAAAAGAATCGATTGATACTATAAATACACACGACAAATCGCGAAGAGAAATCCTTTAAACTTTCTATTGTCGAAGCACAATCTGGTGATTTATTACTTACAATATATCATTAAGACAAAATAACAAGGTGATGATATTAATTTTGTCTCCATACTATTTAGAGGATTTTTTGTTGTATTTGTCACGGACATGTCACACAATCAGATAACATGCAAAATCAATTTCGATAATGTTGTAACGGGTGAGACTGCAGGTTATGATGCACAGCGTTTATATAGATCGATAAATACGCTGCGCATCTAACCTGTAGTTACCCGTTACAACAATTTCGGAGTGGAAATCCAATGGGGTCTCCCCGCGTGGGTTCGAATCCCATCACCATCGCCAGATGTTATATCTTGAAAGTTGATTTCACGATATACCGCGTATAACAGAGCACTTCCAAGTCGCAATAAGAAGACTAACGAAAGGAATATTATTCCAAACAGTGTCAATCATAGTACGAAATTGTCAGGTATTTATAGTTTTTAGTGAAAACGAAATCATCGTTACAGTCCCCCAATCCGCATACAGGGGGTTATTAGCATTATCCAATCGAGAAGCTACGCGTTGGAATTCTAGAATATTCTTCCGAAAGGTGATTGGATGAAACGTTTTCGGCTCCTTCTGAGCCTCTTACAGCTTCCTCGAGTTCACCGGTGGTCCGTCGCCACAGATAAGTTTCCAAGATACTAGATTTACTAACAGTGAATGTGTAGTATAAACAGAAGTATGATGTAACACCACTTAATTAACTATACATATATAGCACTGAAATTCTGCTTTTTTGAATATAGAAAACTATACTTGTTTTATACATCAAACTATCACATTTCATAAGCTTCAGTAAAATTAACTTACATCGCTTAAAGCAATTGTTAACTCTTTACATAGCTGTTTCAATAAATTTTCTTCATTAGTTAGTAATTCTTTCGTTGTATTAATTTGATTTTTTGTCCGATTTTCAGCATTTACAAGATTTTCCACGTGCTTACTTAGTAGAGCGGTTTCTTCTTCAAGTTGTGATACCTGGAAAAAGTATATGACAATAGTAGTGTAACTCATTTACTAAGTTTAATTTTTGATTGATTTATTCAAATCTCGTCACAATAAGGCACCGAAAAGGAATGTGTCACATAAACGAAGCGGTGATATTATGAAGAAATAAAGGAAACTACGGAGGGTCCAAATATAGGAGTTGGAAAATTCTAATTCTAAACCAGTAGCCATACGTGTTTCATAATCCAAAACGGAAAAAATGGCGTACGAACCTATTCTGGTCTTCGGTTACCATAGGGCTGAATTTTGTAGTAGTTCTTTATGTCAAAAGCTCTGAAGCGATCCCATAAAGAAACTGATTGGTTCAGTCTAGGCAATATTTCATACCATATATATGATTATGATGAAATTTCTCCTCCATTTGTCAAGTAGGGGTTTCGCATTTAGCCTTAAACTACACTACTTGTGTGAGAGCTATTAACCTCACCTTTCTGCACAAACTGATGAAGGTGGGGTGAATTGGCACACTAATTGGTTGAATACTGAGTTATTTAACTAATAAGCCACTTCCTCATAAAAAGTATACATGACCATTAATACTGTGATGTACGAGCGAATTAATTATAACTTTAATACAGAGAGCTTGACGAATATTCTTCCAGTGGTTCCTAAACTAAGGAACGACGATTAATTTATACTGTGATGTTGTGGACAGAATTGTATTGGGTTCACATTATTTGCGTGTGTGTATTTTGGACTTTCGGGGGCGTTCTTGGCGATTTCTCAAATCAGCGATTATAGACGTTGAGAACCAATGAAAGAGGTGATAACGCCTACATAAACAGCCAATTAAAAGCCAGAAAATCAGGGGTGCGGTTAATTTACGCATATTAAGACTTTCACAATGTGTCACCCCCATTTTTGTCTTTGTAATTTCCTATTAGCTTCTACAATATAAACAATAGGTTTTTTGTTAGATATATTGCACCATACATTGAGTCCGGATGCTAATTACCAAATATTTAAACTATAAAGAATACTAATCCCATAAAAATATACACATTAATCTTCTCAGAAGAACAGTCAGTGAAGAAATAGTCTTTCGGTTTGCAAATGTGTAAAGCACGTCCTTTGTAGTCAATCAAGCGCGATTTTTGCAGTGACAGCGGTTAAGACCTCCAACTGCTGGGTCGTAGGTTCAAACTAACTTAGAGCCAGTTAGCATCACTATAAACGTGTCGCTCAAAAACGAGTACCTAGGCTTGTAATCGGTAAGTAAATTTCCTCCCAGCACTAGTTAAAACGTTTTAAAGATTTTCGTCATTATTTTTTATATCCTATGCACTTCTGACAAACTATTTCCATGTTAAAGACTGATTTAGTGATTGAAGTGGTCGACTACTAAGTCACCCATCTTAATATAGAATATATATTAACATGTATCATAATAGATATATCAAGACAATCCGCACAGAATTCACATATTCTAACCAAGACTGGTTAAATTCCAGTCAAAATATCAACGACGGGATAATTCAAAACATTTAAAAGTGGATTCATGTTTAAGATGTTTGTGGTTCTCCTGATTAGCTGTTACGAAAAGCAATGGTTATACATTAAAATGTAACTAACGTGCTTCTTCAATTGACGCAAGATAACTTCACGAAGTCTGTTGTATTCCAGAAATTCATGAGTAAATATTGAAATCTTGCAATCTGCTTCCATGTCATTGTTTTTAGTATGTGATATTTGTTTTACTGGTCGTTTACATCCAGCTTTGGACCCATTAGCATTGACCGTTTCATTGGAAGCTAACCATTTCTTGTAATTATCAGTAGTTTTGTATTCAGCAAACAATTTTTTGTATGACTCACGACCTTCGGCAGCTTGGTCAGTATATACTTGTTTCTCTTCAGCAGATAGAGCAGCCCATTCAGTAGCAATAATACGATTTCTGTCTGAAAATGACTGTGAAGCAATATATTCTGATTCTTGTCTGCGCTTTTTCATGAACAACATAAACGCTGAAAGAGGTCGCCTTGGAGCATTTTTGTCGTATGGAGCTTTCCTCATAACAGTAGTCTAAAAATCAAATACACAGTAAAAGATTTTCAGTAGAACGAATAAATTTCGAGATATTTGAGACTTGAAAACCTCTTCTTTATTGTCTAGGATTTACTTACTAAATAATTGGTTGTCTGGGCCACGTGAGGAACTGTAGGGGTTATTAATTCTAATTTATGTAGAGGAGCAGCATAATTACCAGAAGACATCACGATGCACTATTTACTTAGTTATTTTATTTATACAAAGAAACTGGTATGAAGGGGTATCAATATATATATGCGCGACACAATAAAAATGCGGTTATGAAGAGATAAAGAATGGGGGGTTAGTATAATAAAAAAAGAACAAAGATGGATAGAAATTAGTGTATGAGAGTGAAACAACAATAATCACCATAATACTAATAATGGGAGAAGCAGTTCAGTTAGGAAAAATACAATCAGAAAGGATTCTCTCAGTTAAAGCTCCTCTCGCTCGTACAAAGATTACAGCATGATTGCCACTGGCTTCCATTTCGAACCGTATCTAATAATGTCTCAAGCAGGTGTTGCACCATCACTATGAGACCAACCAGGGATTAGTGAACGAACAACGGAAGCCACCAAAGTCCATGTTTCAAGTTAGTGACACTAATTGAAATATCGCTGAGTTGTTGCATAGGTGACGTAAACCCATTCTTGCAAAGTTGCAAGAAACATTACTCACCATCTCCGTGGAACCATGCAATCGAAGCCAATGTCCATCACTATCTCTTAGTGGGTTGATAACTAGCCTTTAACCTGGTTCGGTTTGATATTTAGTTTCAACGGAAGCTGCAACCAATTTGCTGACATCGATCTGTTTAAAGCGATGAATCTGTTGGCTACTAAAACGCGACATAAGATTAGTGCAAGTAAGGACATGACCAAAGTTTAGATAATTACTCCGAAAAGAGAGGCATTTTTGTGCACAACCACGCCAGCGGTAGCTGATCGCAATGTGTTTATTCTGAGTCGAAGATTGAGATGCAGAGAGAGAGTACCAGGAAAAACATCGGCGATAACTGTACCGATAGTTAATGTTAACCGGAAACGGGTTGTAGTCTGCGCAAAGTTACAGTGGACAGTCCACGTTATCTAACCTATGACCAAAAAGTCCCCATCAGCCACATAAACGACTCTCGTCTGTGCCTAGACGCCCTACCTGAGCATTCAAGTCTCCGGCTAGTACTACAATATTTATCGAACGCACTTTTTGTAGAGCAGTTAACTGGTGGCAAAAGAGCTTGATCCCATTCGGGCTGTAACCAATTAGAACTTAGGTAGAGATGACAGTAGGATATCATTCATCACACCGATTTCTTCTGAATTTGATGGAGCTTTCTAGTTTGAGGTTACATAGTCGACTGTTAGTGGGGATCCAGTTGATTAGTGCTGCCTCAGTTCCATCGCTTAGTGTGACACTAACGCCAGCAAAACCAAACTGAGATGCAGATTTGGTTTCAGAAAGACTGGTTCATAATTCGTATTTACTGGTAGCATTTAATTTTCGACCAGTCAGTGACTTGAGATCGCTTAGATAGGACAGGGTTTCAACCATAGGTGAGCTACTGTATAAGTTGAAGAGTTAAATACGGAGAATGAGGATAAGGGGGAATACATAAGTGGCGTAGTATAAAAGAAATGGAAACGAATTTTATAGAATGATTGTGAATATGATTGGTCTGAATGAGCGTTAAAGTGAAAGCAATTTTCCTAGTAGTAATTATCATTGGTTTGTGTGGGCTAGGATATTACCCGAGTACCCCAACCGAAGCAAGTGGTTTTTAGAGGGGCCACTTCCCGACCCTTTTTCCTTAAGGTCTAACCCACAAGGCAGTGGAGCAACGTTAGGAGATACGGTCCTATGGTAGCCGGTGACCAACAATAGATTCACACGCCATTCATTCCCTTAAGATCATGGAGCCCATGTGGAGCATTGGTTTGGAATCTGGGTTTTCTTACTCCCTTAGATGGATCTTTTATATCCACCAACCCGGTTAAAGCTCCGGATATTTGCTTTACGTCCTTTCGATTTCGTAAACGACAACACCATCGCAAGAGTGACGTTTTTGGAAGTGTCTATATACATGCGGCCATATGAGAGAATTTTCAGAGAGAGTGAAAGAGAGCGAACTCTTTCTACGCTCGGCTGTTTCAGAACATGGTAACACCTAAACATAATTAGTAAGATGGACATGACAATTGTATACATCAAGTTCATCAACCTGTAGCACCTTGAGAAAAGTAAAACGATACACCACTGAAATAACCTAAGATTTGTAAGGTAGGTAGGTATCAAATTTATTGAGATTAAATTTACAATAAAATACTTCAATTTATTACACATGTATTTATAAGTGATACGAACTAGTCATTAGCTACACATGTAAGAATCAATAAAGCTCAGAAGAAGAGCGAAAGGAAAACACAAGAAATGCATTTTACTTATGCTATTGGCCTTTCTTAGCCTTTTAATTAACCAATCTTTCCTCGAAATTATCTAAAACATATGAGTTAGTGTTTACTTTTTTTAGGGAGACACCTTTACTGTGATTCCTTTTGACCTCCGTTTCGATTCGCTATTGTAGCCTTAAGAAAGAAATGTAGAAAGTTTTTAATACACTGACACACAAGGTCACATGTTACTTGTAGTCTGTTCATATTAGTGCATCGAACTATTAAGATGGTAACTGATTTGGAAATCAGGATAGTAACACATACGTACATTCACAGTTTATACAAAACCCAGTTCTCAAAAACCCTGTGATAATATAGTTTTCCTAGCTCGATTTGTAATTTCTATGTAACATAATAACATATATAAGCGAACAATATTGTTTTCGATTAGATCCTAATCAGGCATTACTCTAATATACAGTAATGTATTTCTATGCATATACAAAATTATTAAGCCAATCAGGGCAGTTTATGATTCAATGGTGATAACAGTGGAACAGATTACATAAATAAGTGAAAAGTATAAATTGATAGTGTGATGAAAGGTGTACTAGTTGAGATAAGCAATAATAAATGCTTGAATCAATGTTACATAATGGGAACTAGGTCAATGATTAGAAAAATATAGACACTGAAATAACATTCATAAAAGTTTTAAAATTACGTAATAAGTGTCTACGGTCCAATTATCTGAACACTTTGTTATTTTTATCACAACTGGTACACCTTTCATCGCACTACCAATTTGTACTTTTCACTTATGTTTATTTATGTAGTCTATTCCATTGTTATCATTGACTCATAAACTACCTTAATTAGTTTAATAACTTCATATATGCATATAAATACAATACTGTATATTATAGTAAAGCCTGATGAGGATCTAATCGAAAACAATATTGTTCTAAATCACAATATGGGAATTTTTCAAATATAATGACCATATAAGCGTCAGGAAAATTGTAATAATGCAACTCGTCTAGTTCAAAAGGTATCATATAAGCATTTGACGACTGTTGACTACCCATATAGCCGAATAACTGAAAGAGATTTTAAATAAGTGTATAGGAATCTGAAAAACTTATTTCGTGGACGAGATTTGGAAGAGGATTAAAGAGTTAACGCGTAGTTAGCAAAATGATCATACGTATAAGTTAAAATTCCCCATCTAAGATATTTGATACTAGGCATTTTTGAATATACAAAAAGTACTAGAGGCAGTTGGCAACAAAGTTCAGTAATTAAAAAGCAATGATCATGTGAACATATACTATAGACGGTGAGTTAAGAGGCATTATTTTGGCTTTTAGTTCTTAGTGCATATTTCGATGAATTAACGCCCGCCTACACGGACATGGGCAAGTGATAATAAACTGAGTGTTGACTTCAATCTAAGCTTGAAGAAGAACCTGGTTTATTCAGATGTTTATATCACAGCATGTCTGAAGGCCAACAACCTCCTATACATTCTAGACACGAACAACTAGAAAGCATAACAATAACTTTCTACTTGTTCTAAATTTCCCATTAAATGATGCACAACGCGATGTTTAAACACACAAACACAGAGTGTGATATATACGGGAAATGTGAAGAAATTCTATATAAGGTTAATATGAACCAAAAATGTTGAGTGAAATTTGCGTTAACTGTAGTACATTCACAGAAAACTAATATGCGTTTTTTCTTCATCCTCGTTTCCATCTCCGATTCTGGAATCCTATTTTTCCACCATTTTGCTTCTAGCTTGATTTCTTTGTAGATAACGACCTATAGAACATTAGGTTGTCTTTATACAATTAGATGTCCATTTGTCAATTGACTTCGCACAGTATATGCTATTACATATGATTTTCTTATATCCCATTTCGTAAGCTTGTATCGCTTATTCCGTTATTTAAGCATTAGTTTTAGGCACTGCAATTTTATAAGTAGACATGTGATACAACCAATGTAATTACACTGGTAATTCACAAGAACTAAGCCCCTACAAAGAAAACTGCAATGCATTTGAAACTTTAAGCTAACAAATTTTTATTTCGATTATTATATTATCTCCATCTTATGCTCGTGTTATCCCTAATTGCTATGGATTTCTTTGGCTATTAAATGTAAGTTCATTTTATGTGTTTACTGAGTCGTCGACTCACATATTCCCATGATCTTTTCCCCTCTGAATAACCTCGCTTACTACTTTTAATATCCCTCAAACACACAAGGTACATTCCGACTAGACGCAAACCTACCTAAAGCAGAAAACCACAAAACCCGCCTTCAAAAGTTACGTCCAATTTACATAGGGCGGAATGCTTTTTCAAATCTCAAATAATGACAGACTAACTTCCATAATCCTTGCAGCTTATTTTTCGGTAAAAATACAACCTTTCATGGTAATAGTTTTCTTATGGGGTTGATACCACCTGTCCAAGTATGAAATTTCAACCAGTGACCACACGTAGAGAAAAACGTAATTCGCCTCTGATTTTCTAAGGGCGCGATTTGTTTATCCTTCGTCGGCGATGACTTGAAGTAGAAGAATTTTTCACTCAACGGGATCCCGAATCAAGTAACAGTAGATCACAGATGCCCTCAAGTTAAAACATTGATTTATTTAAAAATAGGAAAGCATTAGTAGATTATGATGAGATACTGTTCTAACTTTTTACGAATGTATCTTCTGAAAGACTCCTCAGAAGTTGCTTGGATTACTTCAGTCAGTAGTGATTTCTAGTATTTGACAATACTGACATGTATATTCAGTGATTTTTTGCGACAAAAAAGATCAGGTCCAATTTTTTCTTTCTTTATTCGTGACACCTTGTGTGCAACCACATTTATCCATTGTTTCTTTGTATCATTTGCAAAAAGGATATGGTAGTCTGGCTCTTTTCATACATGCGTTACCTGTGTTATCCGAATAAGACGCTATCTCTGTCATTCGTTCTTCAACTTTATTGGCCACACCCTATAACTAAAGGTTATAGTAATGTTATAACATTCTTCTGGGCCATTCTACACTGTGTTGCAGTTTTGGCTCTTATCGCCATTGAATAATGCTATCCGATTTAACTTTCTCGTCATGCCGTCGGTGGCACTACGTGCAGATGAACTTTCGTTAATCAAGTGATTTCACTAGTGATTTTATCTCAGAAGGATACAATAAACCACTAAATGGTGAATAAAAGCGAAATATGGGAAAAACAAACAAACGTGACGGCGTGAATCAAGGGGAAAAGTCGACTTTCCTCTTTAAAATGAAGTATTCTATGCAAATATATGTAAAGTACCTCGTTTGAATATGTCGCTTACTGAACGTACATTTTGACTAATTCTTCGAAAATAACTCCGTGTTGGATAACATAGGTGAAACATCATCAGATTAAAACACTGGAAATTTCGTCAGATGTATATATCAAAACTTGGTTGATGATTCAATGCAAGTGTCCAGACATGCTTGGTGGAGGTCGCGAATAGCTTTCGATGTACAATCAGGTATCATGCTCTCTGCTTTGCGTTTATGATTTTCAGTTAACCTGTTTGTCTTATGAGATTAATTTAGTATAAACCAATGAAAGTGTTCGTAAAGTAGGGTAACGGTGAACTTGCCAAACATACTTGGCTGTCATAAATCGACAAATAACCCAAGGTGGAATAAAATGTGGACGACTTTCATGAAGAAACAGTAGAGAAAAATAAAGCCCCAAAAGAAATAATTTTGTAAGTCTTCGAAGTCTGACGTTAACCTTAATAATGTTAATGGACACATTTAGCTGAAAACACCCGACCACACACTCTCACCAGATCACCATGGGTACACCATATTACCCATATCTTGCAACCGTTATCCAGCTTTGATCAGAAACTTTCCGACATATCGATAGACTTCCAAGTACATTTTCGAACCTCTTCACTTCTGACAAATGATTTGATTAGGTTGGCTTACTTCGATCAGATAGGTGTTACATGTGGAGACATTGTTGAACTCCGAATACCTGTGGCATATTTAGTGGTTAGACTGACATGATCTGGTACATAAAGCAATAAACTATGGGTCTTTTCCTTGTTGGAACATTGTGTTATTTCTTAATTTTCATTTTTATATATTGTGATATTGTTTATATATTTTCGAATATTTTTTCTCGTCCCTTGCTATACTTTAAATTCATCACGACCGAACAAACTCCAAAATTGCTTACAATCATGACTCCTACGCTACCCTCATTGCAGCTAATGCTATTCCGGCCATGTAATGCAGAAGCCTCGCTCTACTACGCAGAAGCCGACCTCCACGAGTACGGCGTGACAAAAATTTTCACACGATTCCTCGCAATAGTGAATGCATTACAACGCGATCTCAACATTAACGTCACACCTAATTTGCCTCTGAACCTTATGAAACCTTTAAAAAAAGGTTTACTTAAACGTGGAGACCTAACTGACTGACAAGGGTTGGACCAATTCTTCCACAGCACAGAGCTGTAACATGACTGAGCAACAGGATCGTTGATACTTATACTTGAAGTCAGTAGTCAAAGTACCTTTCAGAAGTGTCTATTAAGAAAGCTTTTCTTGTCAAAATGTTCCCATTCACTGCAGACAGTTTTTGTCTCATTTCAAAAAGAAGCTTCGGACGAACTGGTTTAATTTGCTTGTCGGGTTCTGGAGATCGCCAGAATTCTTAGCATCGAGACTCGTTATATCAAAGAAAAGTGTTAAGTTGGCTTTTGGAGAACTTCAACGGAGCCTTCAGAAGTCCTAAAAAAGCCGAATAGTATTAACCAATCAGAGCATGACGGATCTTTCTAGAATTCCAACGTGGAGTGCTTCTATTGATCGGTAGCATAATATGTCTTTTAGCGGATTGGCCAAAATATGATGTTGATTTAACAAATGTTAACATCTATGAATACCCGTGTTTTTCTGTACGAAAATGAGCCTTTGGAATAATGTGTTTTCGCTTATTTTGCTCCTTTTTCTCTTGAGTTCAGGTCGCTGCGTATTTCTAGCTTACGGGTTACCAGAATAGTTTAGGAACCGAATAAAGCATTCAAATTGCCAAGGCTTATCAAAAAACCTCGAACCACTCAGAATGATGTCAAATACGTCTATCACAGTCTGACGCGTTATCTTTTTATCCGCCAAAATCGTAAACGCTCCCAGACTCCTCGAGGAAGCTCATCGCGACGATTTTTCGATAGATCACATAAGACAGATACTACTTATGGTTGCTGGAACCACAATAAATATACTGATTCTTCTCGAAACTGCGCGAAATCCTGAAGTCTTCCGGTCTTCAAACCGACCGATACGAAAAACCCTTCAGGAAACTTCACAACCAGCACGCGTAATAGAAACCACAACCGGTGATAACAGCCGTCTGTTATACATCACTGATGTGATGACGCTAATGCAAGTTCTAACGACTGGCTGCACGAAACAGTTCTCAACTTACTGGCGGCAAATGGAAAACCGATTGTTTCATATGGTAAGGGGAATGGGTTTACGCAAGCCCATTCCATGGGTTTTGGTTGATGCAGATATTTCTGTACAAATCAAACCTGATACAACACTATAACCTACTCACTAGCACGCGTAGGCGAAGGTTAGTAAACGGAAATATTAATTTTTCTGTTTGTGTAATTTTTTCCGGTTTTTGGTTGTTCCCAGTCAATTTAAGGCATATAATCTACTCACAGACGGATTTTCGACAAACGTAGCAAACTATAATGAACACTATCAATAATGTTACACAACATGTCACGTGTATTCTCAAAAGCGTGCCGACTAGCTCCCGAAAAGCTAGGTTTGTCCAAAAACGATCACATGAATTAATCAGTCATCGGACAGCCGATATAAATCTCGCTTGCACATGGTCCCCAAAAAGAGACAGCAAAGACTAGAATCTGACTGGTGCCAATTAGTAACCGAATGCGAAAACCACCCCTGATCGAAAGCGACTGGGCCTTGTTTTCGAACGACTCTAAAAGCGTGGCATCACTGTAAATATTCGGAAATGTCAAATCGCCACCAATTCTCTAGCTTCACTCGGACACAATCTAGATGATGAAGGCATCCACCCTCTGAAAAGTAAAGTGGCGGCCATTTTGGTTTATCCAGAACCGACCACAGTCAAGCAACTAAACACATTCAAAGATCTGGTAAGTTTGTAGTGGCATTGGACCGTAACCATACAATCCTCAACGCTGAACAAAAGACTGCTCGGAAAATAAATATTCCATATTTAACGCGGGGAAATGCCTAACGATGGAGAAGTCAGGAACAAGGAATTTAATTAATTGGAGTTGATCGGATAGCATGGCTCGGCCATGCAGGCGTGGTCCTTCTGAATGTTACATTATATTTTCTATTCATATTAAATATGTTGTTCCTTCTCTAGCCTAACCTTGTTCTACATCATGTATTGGTAATTGATACGATACAGTGAGTTGGTGTAGTCGATGGTGTGACTTCCACGTAAGATCTTATGGATTAGGCAGTTATATCATGACAAATCTACAATTTTAGGATTAGGTCTATTATTAGAGCAGTACTAATATCATAGTAGATCATAATTTTACAAGTTTTCGCCACCGATTCATAATGAATTGTGCGTTTTTCACGGGACCTTCAACAGACCAATTTTGTAGGAGTGAGAAATTCATCATTTCGGATGACAACGAGAGAGTACCACCCTCTACAGTTGGGGAAATGTTCGCGAACGCGACCATTCTCACATTCCAAATAGTATCGCAGCAGACGCATCCGAACAAGTAATTGAAGTTCCACAACGGTTGCAAGACACGCTTTGGGGGGGAGATCTTAGTCGTGTATTGTGCAGTACGGCACTTTCAACACTACTGAAGGCCGAGAATTCACTCTTTCCACCGGTCATAAACATCTTACCTTTTGTTTAAGCTCATCTCGTGACATGTACTCACCTCGAGAGTATTGACAGCTGGATTATGTTTCGCAGTTCACTTTCGATACACAACCTATTTCTGGAGCAGACAATGCAGCTGCGGAGGTTTTATTCCGTACAACTTCTTTGAACGATTTCCAAGGAATTGACCTTCTTAAACTCGTCCAGCTTCAAAAAGAAGACGTTGATTTTCAGCACGAGTTATATCTAGCAACCTTAAAACTACGTATTAAACTAGCGGGAATAGGTAAAGAAATTTTATTATGCGGCACATCCACAGGTAGGGATCGCTCAATCCAGCCGAAACATTATCGACACAACGTTCTAAACATGTTGTGCGAACTTTCTCATCCAAGTGTTCGTGAATACATCAAGCTCATAGCAGAGCA